TTTACAATCTTGTCAATCTCTTCAATAGTGATAGGTTCATTGAGATGCTGTAACTGTGAGCTTGGGTTGATTAGGGCTGAGGGTTGAATGGTAAACTCCTTGAACTCTGAGACTCCCAACCTTTGTCTGAATTCATCCCACAAGATCTGCTCTTTTTCTTGATGACTGGATACAGTGACTTCATCTGTGATGTTAAGTTCAGTGATCAACTTGTTCCTTTGTCTTACTATTGCACTTGCATGAAAGAAGTGTGTCCCTGCATCACCTAATTGCACCCATTTGATGTTGCCTCTGCTTCCAATAGATTTTCTATTTTCAAGGAGATTCAGAAGATGATTTTCCAGCATTTCTCTAAAGTTCCATTCTAGAAAGCTTAGGTCTCTGAAGTTCCATTCTAGAAGGCTTAGGCCTCTGAAGTGCTCTAGTACTTCAAGGAAAAGGATGATTAGTCTGGCATTTGAAATCAGAGTTTTTAAATTTACCATTGAAGCTTGCCATTCTCTTAGTTTTCTTCTGAGGATCTTGAGTTTTGCAGTGATATTTTTGGCACTGTCATTCTAGACATTTTGGTGGTTCCAACTTTCTGTCAGGATATTCTGGAATTCATTATGTTGCAGCCAGTAGTTTTCAAACTAAAAGGTTTTGTTCCTTGGAATCACTGTTGTAGCACCCGGTTTTAAGAACAAAACCAGATACACACCATATGTGAGCTCAGGAAGTCAAATCCCACATATAGCTACAAATAAGGGTAATATCAATAGACAATGCTCAATATATAACGTACTTAGTATAAAGTATATAACCTTAGATAGCAAATAGTGGAAAGACAACTTCGATCTTTGGGTGAAGACTCCAATTCCGTAGGGACAACTGATTGGTTGATCACAAGCCTAATTCTTCCAAACTCTAGCAATCTGGTACCCATCCGGGATTTTTTCAAAGATTTAAAAAGTAAGGCAAGCGTAAGTACATGTTGTACTCAACAAATATAACATGAGGTTCATGAGGCTCAAAAGGCTGACACTGGTTTAACTGCAATTAGCTTTAAATGAGTCATCTTTTAGCAATTAGGTGGCAACAAGTTTATTCACAACCCCATATAAACACATGATCAGATAAACATGAATAATGAATAGCATAAACAATTAACCATTAATGAGCATCTTTATCATCAGTTTCATTAGTGCTCATCATCTATTCCGTAAGGGTTCCAAGGCCGCTCATGACCGTGAGCACGACTGTTATAACAGTTTTACACTCTGCAGAGGTTGTACACTTTCACCGTGAGTTGAGATTTATCCTTTCGCCCGAGGTAGCTAATCTCTTGACCCACTTCCAAGGAAGGTCGGCAGGGTTCACTATGAAGCCTTTCAAAGGTTCGTCTAACAAGTTAGGGCCATTAGATTCACTCGGTAAATAGATGTAGAGCCCCCATTCCCGATGGCACAATGACGCGCAGCCTATACACAAGGGGATAGAGGCCGCACTATACCCGATTCGTCAAGCCATTCTTCGGCCAATAAAGGTAACCACTAACAAGCTAGAAAAGGTCCTCATACTAAGCTAAAGCTAGAGCCATGTAGCCCTCACAGCTGTACTGTAAGTCACGAATGATCACTTATAGATAAGTCAGTAGAAAGAGGAATCTAGAGCACCATAAAAACAGGCTAATGCTCTAGCCCTCTGGTTCCATGTTGCTAAAAAGCATCTTTTGGTGTTTATTGCATATACCATTAGTCAAGTTACAAGATCATGGTCTTTAATTGAGCACTAGCATCATACTACCCAATGCATATCCCATATGAGACAAGGTATAAGTTCAATTCTAGGGAATCCCTATCAAGGTGACACATGCAATATGAATTAAATGTATTAAAGTTGATAGGAAACAAGGATGAACCCATGCTATACTTGCCTTGACTTAGATCCTTCTTCTATTGATTTGTAGCCTCCCAAAGAACTGCTTCTTGATCACCACGTAAAACTCACCGACTGGACAAGATCATTAAGCACCACACAAGCATCCGAACAAACATGCATATCATTCAAACATAACTATATTAGAACAATACACCAATCAGTAAAAAAGAATTTGAAATCAAATCTATGCGTTGCTACAATCACACAAACGTGAAAAAGCACGCTAATCGGAGTTACGATGAAAAGATACATCTACCGATAGATTTGCTTCAAAAAGAAACTATAGGCTTTATTTATTTTAGCTATATAAAACATGTATAAGATACTTCAGAGAAATACCTTAATTGAGTTAAGTCAAATTATACTTGATTTAGAAAAACAAGGTAAAACTAATCATATAATTGACCAAGGTGAAAAGCCTAAGTTACTTTTAATTAGAAAAATCCAATCGCATAATCATTATTCAAGTTAGGCGGTAAACCATGAAATTCTAGAGCTCTTGACATGGAAAACATTTTGACTAATATGTAGATTACGTCGTTACGAATCTAACGTAATTTGAACGGGTCAAATCAGAGTTAAAACGGAGATCTTATGGCCTACAGAAGGTAGTGGCAATTTTGTAAATAGATGAAACTTAATTTTCGAATTTAAAATAATTAAAATCTGATTTTAAATCTGCCTAAGGACTATGGTTACTATTTAAAGACAAGGTAGGGGCTCTTTAGAATAAGTGCAGGGACGATGGGTTCTATATTAAAAATCCGAGGGGCTCTTATGCAATTAAGCCATGAGAAAGGGTTACAGGTTAATCTGGGGCTTTGGATCTGAAACGGACGGCTAAGATTAGAAGGAGGAAGGAAGAGGGGAAACTGTCGGCCAGAATAGTGAGCTCGGTGGCGGTTCCATGTCCGGGCCCTTGTCGGAGTTCACCAAAACGGTGGTTCCAGGCTCGGTTGCTTCAACGGATAACATGGGGAGATAGATCTCAAGCTCACAAATTCGATGGGGGTATCGGTTGAAGCAAAAAATGAAAGAATATGGCGATGAGCTTGATTTGGCGGCCAGCATTGGTTCGGCGACGGCGTGCAGACAGAGAAGGAGGAAGAGAGGGCAAAAGAAGGGCACCGGGGCTTCCTTACCGAGGTGTGAAGGCCGGGGAGCGGCTTAGACCGACAGCGGAGCGGCGAGTTGACGGGGATGCATGCAACGGCGATGAGCTAGGGTTCAGCGCACTTGCGAGCTCTGGGCAGAGGCGACAGCGGTGCTAGGGTTGGGGTAGGGGTTACGGCGCGGCTCAGGGCGCTATTTATGGCCCCTGAGTTGCTTAGGGCGCACGCCAGACGGTGAAGTCAGGAGCGCGGCGGACACGACAACGACATAGTCCGTGTTGGTGACGAGAGGAAGAAGACAAGACTGACATGGGTGGCCCTCTTGTCAGTGAGCGAAGAAGTGCGGGGCCAGCGGCCAGAGATGACGCGAGAGGGAGGCGGGTGCGTGGCTTCGCGCATGGGGCCTACGCACCAGTGTGGGCCGAGTGAGCTAGGCCGCGAGGGAGAGAGGGGTAAGGGAGAGGGCCGGGCTAAGCAGACCGATTCAGGGATTGGGCCGGTGCACGGCTTGGGCCAAGCGGGGAGAAGAAGCTGGGCCGCGGGCCAAAAGCCGAGAAAGGAGAGATAGAGAGAGCAGCTTTTCCATTTTCCTTTTTGTTTTCTCACTTCAAAACCAATTTCAAATATAAACCAAATCAAATTTGGATATGGTTTAAAATACCCTTTTCAATTCAAATAAAAATGAACAAATTTTGGTAAGTTTTTCAAAAATAAATTTTACAACTTTTTAAATTCTTTTATTTTCAAAATTTCTTTTCTTTTATTTCAAAGCCAATTTCAAAAGCATTTTGAATTCATTTTGAATTTTGGATTCAACCACTCATTGCAATAGATCAGATGCACCGGCATGTATGCACATCCATGTTGCTATCTTATGATAAATTTTAATTTAATGAAAAATATTCTTTTTTCTATATTTCATGAGCACAAAATTCAAAAATTAATCATTTTAAACCTATTTTCAAAATTAAAATTTTTACGGTGTTACAACTGTTGAGACAGAAGCCAGACAAGGGCAATGATTAGATGGCACCATATCTAAAGCCCTAACAAAAGTGCTTGGGTAGGAGATGGCCCAATTATTGGATGTAAAAATCTAATCAAGCTTTTCAAGGAGAGGTGAAGGCTGAATGTTTGACCAAGTGAATTTTCTTCCTTACAGTTTGATCTCATTTATCCCTAGTGTACTAATTGCCGAGTTGAATCTGAACATCTCAGAGAGGTCTCCACCAGGTCTGTTTCTGTCCTCACGTTTTTCTGATTAAATTAAAGTCTCCCAAGATTATCCAATCAGTATTTTCTGGCATTTGGATCTCTTTCAACCAGTTGAGAAAAACATTTTTTCCCTCGGCAGTGCATGGACCATAGACACAGGTCAAGATCCAGCTGGAATTGTCGTGCTTTGAATAGAATTGAACTGAAACGGCAAAATCATTGGAATCCCCCCCCCCTCCCCGCCTCAAACAGCATACTTTTCCAAGCAATTAGGATGCCTCCAGATGCCCCTACTGAAGGGAGGAAGTCAAAGGCATCAATGGCAGGAGATCATATTTTCCTTAGAAAGGAGACATCCATAGTTTCTTTTTTTGTTTCTTGGATGCAGATTATATCACATAGGGCATCAGTAATCTTATTTTTGACAGGGTTCCACTTCCAAGTAGAGTTAATCCCCCTCACATTCCAGGTCATGATATTCCAAGTTTTGGTTAAGTTTTGATTCATTTGATGAAGATATTGCAACAGAGTTCCATGGATGCATGCTCAACATACATCAAAAACTTAGCAGACATCAACTGTTTGTCATACACTACCATCCCAAGGATCACCAGTTTACTGAAACTGCTAGCAATCTTACAGACCATGACTGACAGGACATAACAAGTACAGTTCCACAGTCTGTTACAACTAACCCAAAAGGAGCAAAGACTCAAAATGGTGCTGCCCCTATAGCTCTGAGGCTTTTTACTTTTAGTTCTCATTGTCCTCATTATCTGCTTGGTCTACCTGTCTCCCTGTTAGCCCAATAGCATCTTCAGAATTCTGCTGCTTCTGGGCCACCATCCTTGCAACTGGTTCTGTCTTCTTTTTCTTGTTTAACAGAGCTTCATCGGTGATGTCTTCAGCATCCATCTTACAAAACTACACACCCAATTTTTTTATTACTTTCACAGAAAGAGTTGGTGGAGAGGGAGTGCAACATATGTATTTCTTAGTTGAGCAACCAGAGGGTTTAAAACCATTGTTATTTTTCTTTACCCTCTCACTTCTGCACACCTGGCTTTCAACTACAGGAGTGAGCCTCCTTGTAACATTTCTTTTCTTGTAGGGAGTCTCTGTTTCTTCTAATTCCTGAATGATGACCCCTTTGTTTTTTCCTCCATTCTGTATCTCCATGGAACTTCCAGCTGATGAGATCACAACACTGTTACTGTGAACACAAATTTTTTCACTGACAGGGCATTGTTTAGGGATTGGAAGGGAAATGTTACCCTGATTGTTGAAGACCTCAGTTGCTGTAGGAGATGCTAGGAATTTAGTTGCCCAGTCAAAGTTTTCTGGAGACAAGAGTAGTGAGGTAAAGAAATAAGCCCAATTAGCTGGAATCTTAGCAGTGAAGTTGACATTATTACCTTTTCCAAAGTAATTGTCCCATAGTTTTGCAGCCTCTTTTGCTCTAGCCTCCTCCCAGACTCCCTGCTGAAGGGGAGGCATTATTGCCATTCCCACCATCACATTATCCTCTTCTTGGTTGGCAAGGATTTGTTGCTCCTGCATCTAGGCCATGTCATTATTCAGGTTGTCATGTTCCTGTTCTTGCTGGTCCCCCATCATCTGAATGTCAGTAATCTGTGGTTGCTGGTCCTCATTCAACTGTAGATTTCCATCTTGTTGTTCAGACTATTCAGGAAAGCCTTCATCCCTAGGTTCCATCAACTAATCCATTGGAATTTCCTCAACCATAAGATAGGCAGGTGAAGCTGGTGACCCAATTGGGATGTTTGGGGCATCCAGCTGCATCTGCACTCCTTCATCAGCAGCAGCAACTTGCACAAGTTCCTCCTCAAGAGGGTTCAGAATGTAAACCTCACCATAGGGCTAGAGAAGATGCTGCTCCAACACAATGCCCTGTTGACCATCACCATTTTCCCTTGGCACTGGGTTGAAGATTACTGGGTGCAGATCTTGGTTAATATCCTATTCAGGTGCAGGCAAATTCAGGTTCCACTGTTCCTGCTGATCATTGATTGGAGCTTCATTCAGATATTGAGCCAAGAGGGGTTGTGGGGGTATGGCCCCCGGTATCCACAAGACAAGACATGGGTCGCACTATCAGAGATGGCCCAGCCCACAAGATCAAGGCGTGCACGGCACTGGTCGACGTGTACCGTAAGATATTATATAGTACCAAATAGGATACTTTCCTTGTAACCCTATCCCTGCAGAGTATATAAGGAGAGGTAATGGTCCCCTAGTGGACATCGATCTAGCTACTACATCTCAATACAATACACCAAAGACACAGGACGTAGGGTATTACGTCGATCAGATGGCCTGAACATGTCTAAATCATTGTCTCTACGCCTTGTGTCACCATCAGGTTCCTATCACACGCACCTCCACCGATCAATCTACCTTCATGGGATATCCCTCGGAGGACTACCGAACATCTTTTGTCGACAATTGGGACGCCAGGTAGGGGTGTGCGTGCTGATCCCATGGTGAGCCAGATGGATCTCAAAATCAACATCAACATCATCCATGGTGACCTGACATCACGGCGCAACTTGTTGCGAATTCACGGCAGCAAGTTTCGATACGTGGAGTCAAGTGGCGGATCCTATTCGGCGCACACGGCTCTGCATCCACTTGCAACCCGATTAATTAGGCTTGGCATCGGTGGTAAGATGTGGTGCTACTATTCTCCTTGACGATCTACATCCACCTCGATGCGTCATCAACCGTGGCCCCAGGCTGTGGAGTTGGGAGTACTCGGCGGCACCACACGTACACCAACTGACAAGATCTAGAGACTAATAATAATTGAGATGCATCTCACGTGGAGCAGCAATGCATGCATATACACCTACGGTCGGCAAGGATTTGATGTCCCACGACAGTATGTGCACGACTTTTTTGTGCGACGGCCGCGACTCGCTAGACAAGCCTGAAGAATGTACAAGCCTCTACCAACTCCAACTGACAAGTTCGACCGCCTCGTCCTATTCGCGAAGCACTCCCATCTACTCCGCCGTACAGCATTGTTTCTCTGATCAGTCAATGATCTCTCCATATCTTATCTGTCTAACGCCGACCAGTAACACGACATCGCCTGGACTACTTACTCCGACCACCTACCGCGTCGCAATGATGATCGCCGAGAAGAACGGCGCCGTGACAACCATGGCCGCCGCCATATGATAGTTCGGAAAGCTCAAGCGCCAGGCAGATTCGTCAACGCTGATCAGATAACGCCATACGCCGCCGACCAGATGTTCTGTCTAAAGCTAAGTCACGCTTTAATATTTTCCTAAATATTCTCCAATCTTCGCATATCGTCATAATGTTTCTCCGAGCTGTTTTCTTCATGTTTGCTCTCCAAATGATTTTCCGAACCCTCGAACAGTCATGTTGACGCTCGGATGTCCCTAGAAACGGCCCTGTCTCCGGCTCATCCCTACACGTGCATGAGTGTCTACCCTCTGCATTATGGGTGGTCGGCAGCGGCTCCTTAGCAACGCTTTGTTCTTCCTACACACATGGGCTCCACGCTCCGTGTTATGGTTAACGGGCTAGCTAGGTCTGGAGACTCAGCTACATACTAACTAGTCGGGCGGTTTATATTAAATATAAATAACACTAAGTGTTCACACCAACTGATCGCCGAGCTGCATACGCTATTTCTTCTCTGGAGTTCATATATGTCTACATCATGTACTACCCGTTCTACATATTTGTATTGCAGGATTATCGTCCAGGTGATCGGGCCACCTAGTGCTTGGATTTCTCCATTGGTCAACTGGTTGGACCGCTAGGTTCATGGACTTCATCGCCGACCAGTTGATCGGACTGTTCGCCGGTCGTTTCTACTCAATGCTCACTTCGCCACCGACCAGTTGATCAGACTGTTCGTCGCTCGTGCTTCATCATCAGCTACGCCGGGGGCTCCTCTGTGCTCGGACATCGCCGGCTATGCCGGGGACTCCTTGGCGCTCGGATTCTTCATGCTCGATGACTAAGTGGGCACACTTCACCTTGCGGACATCGCCAGCTACGCCCGGGGCTCGTCGGTGCTCGGACATCGCCAACTACACCGGGGACTCCTCGGTGCTCGGACATCGCCAACTACATCGGGGACTCCTCGGTGCTCGGACATCGTCAGCTACGCCGGGGACTCCTTGGTGCTCGAACGTCGCTAGCTACGCCAAGGGCTCCTCGGTGCTCGGACATCGCCAGCTATGCCGGGGCTCCTCGGTGCTCGGACATCGCCAGCTACGTCGGGGACTCCTCGGTGCTCGGGCATCGCCAGCTACGCTGGGGACTCCTCGGTGCTCGAACGTCGCCAGCTACGATGGGGACTCCTCGGTGCTCGGACATCGCCAGCTACGCTAGGGACTCCTCGGTGCTCGGACGTCGCCAGCTATGCCAGGGACTCCCTTGATGGTCGGATCTTGCTACGTCTCATCGGTGTGCTATCAAGCTGCTCCATGCTGTTTGGATCAGGGTGCTGATCTTGGGCAGCACGTCTGGGGTCTTGATACGCGCATGTCAGACGACGTCGGCGAGCTTTCAGACTTCTTTTTCTTTGACCCTGCTACAAGATTCATTCTTCATCTTCTAGCAGGCTCAAGGACTAAGTGGGCACACTTCACCTTACGGTGAATGTGCGCTTTTCAATTCAGGGCTCCGCTCGTGGACTGGTTGCCTGCTCGGCCAGTCTTATGCCTTTCTTCTACTTTCTAACCCTGGCGCCACATGATTATGTCACCTACTGTCAGGCTCGGGGACTAGCTGTGGGGGTATGGCCCCCGGTATCCACAAGACAAGACATGGGGCGCACCATCAGAGGTGGCCCAGCCCACAAGATTAAGGCGTGCACGGCACTGGTCGACGTATACCGCAAGATATTGTATAGTACTAAAAATGATACTTTCCTTGTAACCCTACCCCTCCAGAGCATATAAGGAGAGACAGGGATCCCCTAGTGGACATCGATCTAGCTACTGCATCTCAATACAATACACCAAAGACACAGGACGTAGGGTATTACGTCGATCAGACGGCCCGAACCTGTCTAAATTATTGTCTCTGTGCCTTGTGTCACCATCCGGTTCCTGTCAATCTACCTTCGTGGGATACCCCTCGGAGGATTGCCGATCATCTTTTGTCTACAGGGGTCCTCTTGAATGGGCTGCTGTTGGGCCTGCAACTGTTCTGGCCAGGGATCCCATGCATCCTGTTGCTAGTTGTCATTCTGTTCATCCTGCACATTTGGCCCATGGATTGGCTGACCAAGACCACAAAAATCAAAAGGGACTCTGCTTCTATGTCAACATCATCGAGAATCGGATCTTCAACAGGGGTCCCCGCTTTGTTCTTTGTGGGTGATCTTGAAGGACTTACCTTTGGGATTGTCCATGACTCACCATCAATAGTGTCGGGGTCCGCATAGACAATGGATCGTGGCACCTTTTCCGGATCAGTAACCCTAGCCCTTACTAGCAAGCGGCGGTAAAAACGATCATCTGTCTCCCAAAGTAGCACTCTGGCAAATTCCCCAACCACATTGTGAATGTGCCTCTCCGTCCAATAGTCATTTGGCGAGCCCAGCCAAAAGCAACCAACACTCATGATTGAACATAGCTCTCGCCCGATTCTGCGGCCCTCGTTGTGCTTGCGTAAAGATATCGTGACATCTCCGAACGGGAGGGGCTCTCCGCAACAAGAGTGTCGCGATCATAAGCATGATGGAAGCGAACCGAGCTTGACCCGAATGGGTTGGTGAATATCATGGAAAGTAGTAGGGCGCTCAAATAGCGAGGAAGTCACCGAGGACAGCTCTTCACGCGCAAACTACATCTCATTGGTGGCGGTGGGTTGAAGGTGACGATGGCGAGGTCCTCATTCCTCGCCGGGCGGCCTCGATGGAGCAATGGCACGGACCATAAACACTGATTGGGGATGTCCTCATGCTTTATTCATTCGGGGGGACGAAGGGGAGGGGTCATTGTATTTGAAAGGCCATGGCCTCAGCGAGAGGTGGTGGCGATGGAGGCTAGTCGGAGCTCGGGAAGAGGAGGGTTTTGAGATGGCACTTTGTTGCCGCACTTGGAGAGGTACGGCAAGAAGATGAAGAGGCGGCGTCCAAGCGGTGGGTCAATAGCAAAGGGGAAGGAGAAACCGAGGTGGGCTTCAAGCGAGCCGGGTGGGTGGGCTCCCAAGGCCAAGGAACAGTAATGGACGTTGAAGACTTACCGCTGCCCCATTCCGGGATTGAAGGAGGGACTTGAAGAGATCCCCAAACGCAACCAAACATGCGTGGTGACGATGCCGAGGGCCTGTGATCATGAAGGATTTGAAGAGCCCAAAGCATCATTAACATTAAGGGCAGCCACGTTGGTCATAATCAGAGCGATTCTTGTCATTTGGGCCATGATTTTTCCATTTGGTCAAGCTCGGGCGGCGCAGTAGTGATAGTCTTGTGCGACATGTCCCCAAAGCCCATGCACACGCGGCACCGGATAGGTTGACGGCAATTGACCTTAGGATGACCGCCG